GCCGCTCGCCTCGTCTCGCCTCCGCCCAGCTTTTCAGTAATTGCCGCGCACGCGCTTCTCTCCTTCTCTCTCGATCGCGAAAATCACTTATCGATCATGCGCGCGAGAGCGCTCGAGCCGAGCGTGCTCAAAAGTTGTTCGTCGAGGCGCGAAATCGAATGAAGCTACGCGCGTAGCGACGCGCAGGACTGATTAACGCCACACTGTTTACCCCGGAGCGCCAGTCCCATTACGCGGAATCGCTTCTTCCCGCTTGGCTCGCGCGATCCGACTTCGCACTCTTTCCTCAACCCCGTCGTCGCCGCTACTCGCGCTCGCGTCAATTTCGATCGAGAGCTTCGCCTCTTCCGTTGCGCAATGTCATCTCGATGTTCAAATAAAAGGACAGCCGGCACAAGGAAAACAGTCAATTAGCAGTCGCCGTTCTCAATCGCACTTCGCCGAAGCTGAATAGCGCTTTCAATATTGACACAGTGCGGCGGCGAGTGACGTGCGACTCCCCCCTCCCCCCATCTCTAGCGAGCCAGCGACGTGGAAAATAGGATTGGCACGAAACGCAAAAATTCGAAGCGCGTCGGGAAGAAACAAAAAGTAATCCCGCGTTTCGTTTTCTGGAGACGACGCATATTACGGCAACACAGCGGAAGTAATGGGCAACTCTCCCTTGCGTGCTCTCGCGAGCCCTTTGTTTTATTCGCCAGCAACCCCCTGCGCGACGTTGAATAATCACCGAGGCGAGGCGCTAAGTCGCGAGGTTAACGAGTGAAAGCGTCGACGGCGAACGAGAGAGAGAGTGAAAACACACCGACGTCGGTTTTCTGCGCGCGTGGAGCGCAAAAATGCAAGGCACTCCTTTACTCGCGCTCGCTCCTTCTCTCTCTTTCTCTCTCTCCCTCTCGCGGCGCGCACATATTTGGCGACACACGCGCATCGCGCGTTTTTCTCCGCGTGCTCAAAGAGCAAACACCCGAGCGAGGCTTTGACGTCGCTGATAATCGCGCACAAGGCTACAGATTTGTTTGTCTGCTTTCCAGGTTATTACAAAAAAAAAAAAAATATAATAAAAAAAGTTGCCGGCTCCTTTCTTATTAACTTATCCATTTCTCGCGCGGCTTACATTCGCTTATGATGGATCGCTACCATCGATCGCGCGGTTGTATCAAGCTAATTCGACGGCGCACGCGGTGCAGGATCGATATAGTGCTCGACCAAGCTGAAGAAAGAGGAAAAAAACCATCGTCGCGTTGCGAAGTCAAAAATACGAAAATAAAAGTTAATGGTTTCTGCCAATTAGCGTGTTTGCCTTGGATCACGAATGTGTTTGCCAACGAAAACAGCGGCGGGGGCGAGCGCGCGCGCGCACCGCACCGGCCCGGCAATGAAAAGCAAGTTTGCGCGACGTACAGCGAGCGCGGCAAATATCGCGTTTCTCTCGTCCTCTCGAGGATGGTCCTTCGTCGGTGTTTCGCGCTCGTGTCGGTGTACGTAACAACGACGTTTTTCCGAGCGAGCGAGCGCCCCACGGCAGCAGCAGCAGCAGCAGCAACAGCAGCCACGGAAAAGAAGGGAAAAAAGCCGAACGAAGAGCAGCTCGTGTAAATCGAATTATTATATGGTCGACCAGTGTGTACACTGGCCATTTGTTTGCGTTTCGCAAATGGAAAGCGACGCGCGTACTTACGGCAGCCGCGAGAGGGACAAAGAGGGAAAGGGCGCTTGATCTCTCTAACCCTCTAATTCTCTCTCCTTCGATCTCTATCTCCCTTGTGCCGAAGCTTTATTTCTCTCTGCTGGCTGTTAAGCCAGTTTCTCGCCGTTTGACCGTCGGAGCAGGCCGACGACGCGTTTGGCCTGCCGCAGCAGCCGCATTGGCCTTTCGATGGTTTCCGGGCGCGATCGTCACGCAGTTTTCCGCGGCTTCGCTCGACGGGTGCGAATCGCTTCTTTCGGTATCCGACGGATTCCCAACCGCGTTCCGTCGCGTGGCTCGGCCGCCGTCCGTGCCCGACTGCGCCACCGATCGACGCCCACTCGCGGCTCCCGGCCCATTATCCGTTAATTGCCATCTTGACAGGCGAGGCCATTTATTCTCGACGCGGATGCGCGTGCGTCCGCGACTCGACTGCTCCAAATGGACAGAGAGGATAATTAATAACGCGGTTTGTAGGTGCGCGCGGAGCGGAGCACGGTTACGTCACGCTCCGCCGTCGCTCGTCTCCCACAGCATCCTCGCGCGCGTATAAGGAAGCCCAAGCCCGGCGGTATCGCAATGCTTACCTTGAATTTCACTGCTGCATGCAGCAAATCAATCGAGCGCGCGGAGTCGCGAAAATGGCCGTAAAAGCGTTGCGCGATCGCTGACGAGTCGAGAAGGGCCGCGCGCTCATTGGCGAGTCGCGTTGCGAAATCAATTAGCGCCCCGGCGGCTTGAGCCGCGGTGCTGCGTCGCTGCGACGCACCTGGCGTCGCGTGCCGCGCGGAATATGCGCCGTCGGACGGTCCGCTACGACCGCCGAGCTGCTTTCCCTTCGCCTTCGGGCGCGACGGACGCTGGCGAAAAGAATCTCCGATCTCCGGACAAGTTTACGTCGAGCGCAGTGCTGCAATACTCTGGCCGAACCGGAGAAAAGTGATCCCCCTCCGTGAAACTTGGCTGGTAATATTGGTAGAACTATGCTGTCCTTCGAGTTGCGAAAAATGAACATTCTAATTCTACGACGAGATGACAATGGCGCGCTACTTATAATTAACGCAATTGGAGCTGTTGCGTTCATTGAACCGTTCGATTGCCTGCGACGTAACTATGATTTGCAGACATTCAATTGGTAACCTCTTTCCATTATAAAACTAGAAAGCGATGGAAAGGTTGGGATTTTCAATTTGTTTTAAACCAACAGTAGTTCTGCGCTATCGTTCCCGGGTTAATTGGCTTTTTCCGTTGCGAATTGGAGCCCGTGAGTCAGATTTGTCGTCGTTAACTAACGGTACGGCCTCGTGAAAAATGAAAGAGAGCGAGAGGGAGAACAAGCGGAGGTGCTTGTCTTGCAAGCCAGCACAAAAGAGCGCTATTTTTAGGCCCGCGCGGCGAAATGAATATTCGAAAGCCGGCTAAGTTTAATTGCATTACATTCGACAAAGCGCTCACGTCCGCAAACACGGGGAGAGCGAGCGAGAACAAAAGCGGCGCTGCAGCGGAGGCGAGGCGCGAACGGCGGCATTGGCCCTCATTAATTGAGCAGAAGAGAAGCGTGTAATGTTTTGTGCCCTCGTCGCGACACGGATTATCAATTGGCGCGCGGCGAGCGCCAAGCTGTCGCTGCCCCGGGGAGGGCGGCTCTTTTGTTTCCGCACTTTTTTCTCCGCGCCGCTCGGACCGAGCCCGCTGCGAGAGCGCGACTAATTGCCGTGAAACGCGCGGATCTGTTTCATCGTCGCGACACTTATACGACGCGAGCGAACGGCGCAATTAAGCCGATGGTAAGCCGAGCGACGAGCTCGCTCCGCCGACCGAAAAATTGACGCTTGCCTACGTCGCTACTTTCGTTTTTTCGAGCCGACGAGCTGCGCGTCAAAAGTCTCGGGAAGTGTCTGCGACGAGCGAGCTTACGCGTCTTCGCTCGCTGCACTTTTATTTCGACCGAGTCGGTCGGACAGCGAAGCGCGTTTGTCGCGCGGCTTCGGATCGATGAGTCCAAAGTTTCAGCGCGCGCGCGACTGATTGGCCATTCGGTTGAGCGAATAGAGTTTGCCGAACTGTTTGCGTTTGTCTTGTGGTCGCGCGAGCGTCGACTCCTTCCGATCTTTTCCCTCGAACGAGATCGATCGTGAAAAACGACGATCTTGAAATTTGCCTCGAGGTATTGCTCAACTTTGGAGAATGAATACTGTGACACCAATCACAAAAGATGCAAATGCCATGCGCGGAGCCTTATGCAACCCTGTCCAAACAGAAGCGTCGCGCGCACGTGTGCGAAATGGGCAAAACAAGCAGACTCGGTACGCGATCGAGAGGCGAGGATAAAGAGAAAAAAGAAGAAAAAAAAATGCGAAGAGGGAGAGAAGAATTCACTTTCCATCGGCGAGAAGAGAGCGCGCGCGTAGGAGAAGCTGCGAAGGTTCGGCGAAAAGAGGCTTTTAGCGCAGATGGCGCGACGAGACGCCGGGGCATTGCAGCTCATTAGCATTGTCAACATGCTCGATATAAGCGGAAGCCGGACCGACGCGATTTCGAGTGGAGAGGCGCGGGCGCTGCCGCAAGTTTGCCTACTGGCTGCGGTTCGTTGATATTCTATCGACGGCCGCGCATAAATTGCGCGCGCGCCTTGGCGTTCGCCGACATATAAAGTATCAATTTTCCCTGCCATATCGGTGGCCGCGCAGACCGTGTTCCTTCGCAATGTCTGCACTCGAGCCCGACAATGCTGAGCGATTGCATAAAAGACGCTACGCAGTTGCCGCGAGTGCGAGTCGGTACTTTTACGATGTTGACCCTTGACACTCGCCTGCGCGCGGGCTTTCTTGCTCAATATCAGGTCGAATACCCGTTTGCGCGCGCGCGGCCCACGGACCTCGAAGGAAGTTCGCGCGCACGGCCGCGCGCAGACCGAAAAAGGCCACTGTTTGCTCAGCGGCGAAACGTCAGTCTTTACTTATGCGCAATCTGCCGATGGGCGATTCTCCGACTGTTTTCGCGCGAAGTCGCCACGGGACCGCCGTCGACGCGGTGGACGAGAAATGGCGAACGTTGTCGCAGTATTCGAGGAGCAATCACGGTCAAGGTAGGAGCTATCGGTCAACAGTGACCCACGCGCGCGAGCGAGCACTCGAGCACGTAGCCAGTAGCCGTGTGCGCAACAAGAGAGAAATAAAGACAACGGAGAAGACACGGCGAAGCGCGTCCACGCTGCCGGAGAGGGAGAAGCGCTGGCAGGGCAGGTAATCCGAGCAGCTACCGCGTTTTCCTCTCGCGGCGCGTCGGATATATAAGAGCGGCGACGAGCGGCTCTCTCTTACGACGTCGTTCAACTCGGCCGCGAGCTTTCCGAGCGCTACTCTCTCTCTCTCTCTCTCTCCTTATCTATCTGTCTCTATGGATCTTCGAGCTGCCGTTCGCTGGTCTTACTCAAGCTGAGATCATGGCTACGGTGACCAGGCAAATTGTGAGTAGTGCAGCGGCGCGTAGTGACCGTTCTTTCTGCAACGCCGAGTGCTGTTGTCCGTGGCGGGACCTCGTTCAGTCAAGTTGGCTCGAGCCACTCTCCGCTCGACTCCACGAGGATCGGCGCGCCTGGGATAATGGCCGCCGTTTGCCAACTCGCCGCGACACCACTTCGCGGGCTAGTGCACGCCTGGCTAATGGCGCGCGCCGCACCGAAAAAATAGCCCGCCGCTGAATTCTCTGCTCGCGACTCTCTGCGCGTCCAGTGGTGGCGGAGAACAGCTTACGCGTCGCAATCGAGTTGTCATACGCGTCGTCTTCCCTTTGCAGTGGGATCGAGACGCCCAGGAACTGGGATTGTACCTGGCGCTGATCGCCGTGACGCTCGGCTTCGTGGCGATGGCGTTCAGGCGCCAGATCAAGATACTTTGGACGGTCTGCCAGATAAACGGGCCACCGGTTTACCCCATTCTCGGCAACGCCAACTACATGCTGCGAGACGATGGTAAATCCTGGTGGTGAGCTCGATCGGACGAGAGCACTGAGGCAGACGCGCAATTGCAGTGCTCCACGTGATGTCCCACACGGCGTACAAGGACTACGGGCCGGTCGCTCGCTTCTGGCTCACTCTGCTGCCGTACGTGCTGCTGTTCGAGCCGGACGACGTGCAGGCGGTGCTGGGCAGCGCCAAGCACACGCGCAAGATCTACTTCTACCGGCTGCTCGACAACTTCCTCGGCAAGGGCCTGATAACCAGCGACGTGGACACCTGGCGGCGACACAGGCGCCTCCTGCAACCGGCATTCCACCTGCACGTGCTGGACAAGTTCGTGGGCTCGTTCGCCGAGTGCGCCGATCGACTGTCCCGCAGGCTGCAGAAGCACCACGGCCAGCAACTGGACATCACCAAGTTCGTGAACGACGCCGTTTACGAGATTCTGAACGGTACGTGTGGCTGGCGCGTCGCCGGAATGAATGTCGATCGCCCGTCTGACACACCGCTCGTCTTGCAGAGACTGTCCTCGGGGTCAACGTTGCCAGCAAGGCCGACGGAGATGGCGTCGTTAATCTGGACGACTTGCCCTTCAGAAAGTAAGCTCGCTTCTTCAACGCCTGCTCCGTTAGACACTTTTTTTTTCAATTCTTGCAGTACAGCTATTTCACTTTATTCCCATTCGATGCATTAGAGCCAGCTGATTGCGTGCATTTTATAGATTCTTGCACAGAATAAAATCGCAAACGGTTGTATGAACGATAGTTTTTCTTGGCTTAAGAAGCAGCACGATGGCTGGACAAAAGGCTATCGGAAAATAAAGTCATCGACTGGTTTTTCAAGTAACTTGATATAAACCGACCGTGAAAAATCTCGTGCCGCGGGGAAGACACAAGCCAAAGCGCAGAGTTTTCTTGTTATTTCGTACTCGCGAAAGAAGTTTGAAATAATGCGCGGGCTTGAATAAGGAAAAACAGGCGAGCAATCCCAGTGAACGAAGCTGTTGGTCGGGAAATAAGCGTTTGACCAAATATCTCCGAGATCAGCGACTCACTGATTAAGTAATACGTATCGCGTGCAACGCTCAGAGGCATAGCGTGACTCGAAGGAAGCGCGCAAAGAAATGTCGGCGCGAAGCAATTCTGAAAAATACGACGTCGGCTAGCCTATGCGAATTATTGTCACGAAGAAAACGAACGAGCAGAGCAAAGCTCGTTTGTTTTGTTTGCATTTTGATCGTTGCTCCGTCGAATGGCGACGTCGTTCGTCACGCGGCGGGCAAATTGCAGATCCTCTTGCACGATATGGATATGCTTAGCGGAACAGTCGAAAACGTTGCAGGGGTCAGATGGTGGTGCCGTATCGAATAATTCGGCCGTGGCTACTGCTGGACTGGGTGTACAAGCTGACGAGCGCCGGTCAGCGGGAGAAGAAGCAAAGCGAGGATCTGTCGAGGGCGTGTCGTCGGATGATCGAGGAGAAGCGCAAAGCCGGCCAGTCGAGCAACGGCAGAACTTCGCTGCTGGAGTACATGATGGAGATGAGCGACAAGAATCCGAGCAACTTCGACGACGAGGACATCATCGACGAGTGCAGCACCTTCATGCTGGCCGGGCAGGACTCGGTCGGCACGGCCACCGCGGTCACGCTGTTCCTGCTGGCTAACCACGCCGACTGGCGCGACAAGTGCGTGCGCGAGCTCGACGAGATTTTTCGCGAGGATCCGCTACGCTCGCCCAATATGCGAGACCTCAAGGCTATGAGGTGGCTCGAGTGCTGCATCAAGGAGGCGCTCAGGCTCTACCCTAGCGTACCCATCTTCGCCAGAACGCTCGGCGAGGACGTGAAAATCGGTCGGTATTTATTGAGCTTTCTCTTGTACGCTTATACGGCTTTATTTCTCGCGCTTGTACTTCGAAACGAGAAAATCTAATTGATGAATCGCAAAGTCGGTCGAATAACAATCGAGATTGGGCCAGGGCGAGTGAAAGAACGATTAAAAGGACAAAAGCAACGAAACTACAAGAGCATTCGGTCTAATTAATGGCGAACAAAGAATAACGAGACGCGCGGTCGAGCAGCATCATATCGTGAAATGGTTCGATCCTATTGCAACAAGAGAACGAGCATGTAACGAGAATACGTAAGCTCGTTATCGTCGATGAAAATATCTTGTTTTGAGCGAGCCGTAAACAGGAAACGAGGTTAATAATAAGCGAAAAATGGGTTGGAGGAGGGAGGAAAAAAGGGAGGAAAAAAGGTCCGCGTTGCAAGTGAAATCAGTAATTCGCTCGTTTGCAGGAAAGCACGTAATCCCGGCCGGCTGCGGAGTAATGATCCTGCCGTACGCGACGCACCGGCTGGCCCATCACTTCCCGGATCCGCACAGCTTTCGCCCGGAGCGCTTCAGCCCCGGGAACTCGGAAAAGAGGCATCCTTACGCCTACTTGCCCTTCAGCGCCGGACCACGCAATTGCATAGGTAATTATACCCTCGGCCGGGACGTCTCGCGGTCTCGAGCTCGTTCGTTAATTCTCGCTCTCTTTCTCGGCCTGGCTCGGCAGGCTACAAGTTTGCCATTCTGGAAATGAAGGCAATGATTAGCGCGATCCTCAGGAGGTTTCATCTCGACGGCGTCGAAGGTAAGACCGAGGTTCGACCCAAGTTCCGGCTGACTGTCAGGGCCTCCGGCGGTCTCTGGCTCAAAATTACGCAGCGTCCCGACGTCGCCGTCGCCGCCAGATAGTACATCCATCACGCTATATACACTAATTCAATCCGCTGCGGATGAAGATTGAAGGCGCTTTACTGTCGCGCCTCGCCTCGGCAGCCGCTCTCTACGATTCTGACGCAGCGCATCGCAAGCCGACTTTACCTTTACTGTTTTCCAATGCCAACTAATGCACTCTCGACTGATTGCCCGGTCGGCTGTGTGCGAATTGTAGTCTGTACTGTAACTTAGTGCTGTTTGTACCTCTCGTGAGAAATTTATTGCTCGTTATTTATAACTGCCATGGCAGTCAGAGAAAAGGAGAGAGAGAAAGAGTTTTAGCTGAATAAATTCCATGGGCAAACGAGGTCGCGAGTAGTCCGTGCTAAAGCTTTCGCGCGTCATTTTCCGAACCGAGCGAAGCCGACAAGCTCGATTGGCCGGTCGTATCGCGGCAACCCAGATAGCAACTATTCGAATATTCGAATTGCCGCGCGGCGCGCATCCGCGTCCAGCTCCATCGATCCCAGCCGGAGACAGCTGCTCGCCGGCGAAACTTCTTATGCGCCCAGAGACGCCTCCGTCGTGAAATTATTAGCTCCGAGTTGTCGATCGGAGCGAGGGTCGACGCGAATCGATGCTGGATGTACACGATCGGATAATCACGCTTTCGCCGTTTCCGAGGCATCGAATAAATTGCCGCGGCCTTCAGATGCGAAAGCAAATCACTCTCGTCATTTTTCACGTGGAAGCTAGCTGAGCGGAAAATGAAGACGATCGAGCGATCAGCCTCTCCTCCCTCGCTCGGTCTTTGGATCTTCCTCTACGAGAATTAAGTCTATCTACAAAGCTTAAATTTATTTGGGATGTAGCCTTACTTTGAATTGAAGCTCGCTGAAATGTCGTAATATGTTATCTCGGGTATCGATCATCTCCGATAATACTCATCGCTGGACCTGAGTTTTATGATCCATCAAACAGTCGGCGAACACGTTGTTTATTTGAAAGGATCTTTCAGGCGAGAGTTTGACTGATACTTCGAAAAGAATTGCAAGTTTATCATAATGCCGTCTTTGAATATTGTCCCCGGCATCTGTCATACGTGGTAATTTCGCCGGCGTTCCCGTCCGATCCATTAGGCTGCGAAGGAAGGCTGAAATTTGTCACGGTATAGAATTTCCCGAGGAAACAAACAACAACATTGCAGAATACAAACGTCAGTCAGCTGTCGCTTGCGAGAGGCAAACTCAGCTAAAGCGCGATGCATGTACCGAGGGTACGGCGTAAAGAAGAAAGAAGGAAGAAAAAAAAAATGGAAATATAAAACGTAAAAGCGAAACGACGTGGACGTGGCGAAAGACAGTAGGTATAACAGAGTTTTTCTATACATATTGTATGAGTCGAGTTTGAGGCCACATTCCTCTTGCTTATGTACGTGAGTGAAAGCGAGCTCGTAAATAATTGACTGGTCGCCGAGGGATGTAAATATATATTACACGGCCGTTGGTCGACGTTCAATATGCGAACAGATTGATTACGAGCAAAAGAAGCTCAGCTCAACATTGTTGCGATGAATTTATGCGATTCGTGGAAAAAATAAAGGAGACACGCGGTAATATGCACATAGCTGTTGCATGAAACATGTACGACGGAGCCATGGGGTCGCCGCGCAACACGCACTGTAGGTACTGATCCCTCGGGCAAAGCGACATGGAGATCAATGCGGCAAATATGTACCTGTACGTCGCGTATGGATGCACCCACGTTGTGTCTCGAAGGCGAATTTTATCGATGCTCGTGCAAAATTACTCCTTGACAGCGATTGCCAGAGCGGGATAATGTATAAAAGCGAGCAGTCCTTGAAGCAGCCGACGACTGCAGTGAATATTTTTCAGTCGCACACACGACGACAAGCAGCGTCGCTGAGGTCCGTCTCTTCGACCGACCAAAGATTTGGAATTTGTGGTAATTGAGGCCCTTCCCCACTGGCACACTAGCGAAGCGGCCCTCTGTCCGACAAGCTAGACGCCGTAGGGGTATTAATCAATCACTGCGTTAATCGTGCGGCTCTGCTTCCAGGACGCTTGCCAAGCGCGAAAAGTTGTCGCTCTCGGTAAATTTGACACCCGCGACGCGCACTTTTTGCTCTTCCGGTTGCGCGTTCCTTCAAGACAGACGTTCCCGGGATTTATTAAGCAGCTGTACTCTCGAGAAAGTTGCACTTTTTTTCTCGGTATCTTACTCATTCGGTTAACCATTTTTTAATGTCTTCGTGATTTGGGGTGACATATTACTTTTACGGTACAGAGGCTGTCGAGTTTTCCGCATTTCGTATGCATTCGATTCTTTGGATATCGTGGCGTTGAGCTATGATATTGATACTGCATCTAACCGTAGCATAGAGAATAACTGCCGTGAGAAGAATTCTGTTGCATTCGTAAAATATTTTTAAAACACGTATTACATGTTCCATCGAGTAATTAAAAAAGTATTTAATCGAATCGTCTTTTGGATGCTCTGAGAATTATTATTTATCGAGAATTTTCTCATGCAACTGGCATGTCTGCAGGAATGATGAATTAGTCGACGTTGCATTGAACGGATCTATTGCACGATATCTTTTGACAAAAAGCGGTGCTGCAAATAACAAACTGATGTGTGATACGTAAGAGTATAATTGGTTAATTTTAATAAATTTATTGAAACGTCGAGGAGTTCATTGAAAAAATTTAAGATTTTGGGGACAGTAATCGTACTCGTACTGTCTTTGGCTTGAAAATTCACGTGTGCAGATAGAGCAGCCACTACTGGGAACGTCGAGCTGATGAAGCAGTTTGTTTACACAGACAATGCAAGTAAAAGTAATAGCGAAGACAGTGTGTATGTCACATCGTGGCGCGCGCGGCAGTACAAAGCTTTCAATTTTATCTTTCGCGTAAGGGCGTGCTTTTATTTCCCTTTGTTTCTGCATTATTTTTTTTTACCCTCATTGAAGACCGGAAAAGACGAGAAAGGGGTTCGCAGTAAGCTCGAAAGCGAACAACGCGCAACAGATAATGCCGTGCTGCGCATCGATCGGAAGAAAAGCTACCAAGTTGTCTACATAACGACGGCGACGTTCGAAGATGAAGAGGCTGCTTTCGATGTGTTTCGCGATTACACAAAGGTGTCGAGGACATCTCGTGCATTGGAATATTTGGCTGAGCGACGGCGCCCGGCGCGAAAAAATAAGCAGCCAGCGGAGTTGTCTCGACTCCGCTGGATTCGAGGCGACAATGGGAGGAGCGGCCGCGGGGGCTCGGGTGGCACTAGACCAAAGACGTTTTGGCAATGATTGGAGCCTGCTGAAAAAGGCCGCTACAGCGTATCGGAAATCCGCGAGGGGAAGTCCGGGGCGCGCACTGCTGGCTCGTGCTGCGCGGTACAGCCAGGCAGCGCCACATCAGCGCGACATCGCCGTTTAGCGGCGTGGCTTGCTCTTTCGGGATCAAGATTTCGCGCGCGCGAATTCCCGAGTGCAGTGCAAACGCGCCCGTCCTACATGCGCGCCTCCCTCTCTCTCTCTCTCTGCTACGCACCGCGGACTCCACTCCCAGTCCCCGCCCGACAATGCTTTTACTCGACCCGCATATCAGAAAAATCTTGGGCGCGACCGCGCGCCGGGCTGCCGTTTCCACGTGGACGCAAGCTGATTCGTAGTGCAAAAAGCTTGGGAATAATGCCATTAGCAGCGCGGCAGCGAAGCGAGTACGGCGGGCGACGGGTCGGCCGGGAGCTGCGCGATTCGAAATGACCGGGCGCACTGTAGGGCGATCGGCTGGTCGGCGAAACTGGGGCACGCTCGTTGCGCGCCCGTAGTTCGGGCGTTATCGCTTGATTACCTCGAGCCCGAGCGTGCGGCCCGTAATGTCCGTGCTATAGTATATTGATAAGGACCCCCGCGGTGAGATTTGTCCGCCTCGCCCGTGGCTGTGGCCGCAGAGATTACGCGCGCGTTTTATGCTCGAGTCCGAGTGTCGTGTGCGCTTCCACTTGCTGCCGCTGGCCTCGTGGCTGTGCGCCGTCTTCGTGTACTATTCGGCGCGATTCCGGCCCGATTATCGTCGCGAGATCCAGGCGATGCATCCGGGCGCATTAAACGTGACGTTGCGTGCGTGCCTCGGAGCGTAAAGTTCCGCGCGCCGATAAATTTCAATCAGGCGACGCACGGCACTCGGCAGCGCTGCCTCTATCGATCTCCCTCCGGGCTCCCGGCTCACCGTCGTCGCGCCCTCGTGTAAATCACCGCGTAGCGCCGACGTTTTGACATCGGAGCGCGGGTGCCGCGCGCGGCATGTTCATCAGCGGCCATCAGAGAGCGAGGGGGGTCCCAAGTCGTCGGCGAAGAAGTCAAGGAAAAACTTGGCTTACGCGCGCGTGCCGCGTCCACCGGAGACGGCGAAGGCTCACTCGCGCTCCGCGTCTGACCGCAGCCGGAGCGTGACTACTTGTCCATCGAAAACTCATTAGTCGGCATTCGCGCCTCGCGCGACCGTCCGTACTCCGCTCGCATCGCGACAGCCCATTTACACCCAATTCATCTGACGTGCATCGAACGCAAACAGCTCGTGGAAGGAACGCCGCGCGTTTAATATCCGACGTGGAGCCGCTGGCAAGGGGAAAAGAGAGCGGCATAACCGCAAAGTCGACAATCGCAGGCAAATAAATCGGGTACACGCGCAAAAAGACGGAGGTAAACGAGGTAAAACGGCGTGTGCGCGCGTCTGTACGAGCGAGCAAGGGGAGCAGGGGTGCGTGAAAGCGGCGGCGGCGGCGGCGGCGGCGGTGGCGGCCGGTGGCCGGGGTAGGGGTGAATGGGAAACGGCGAAGCCAGAGGGGGTAATTGCGAGAGCGGTAGCTCCCGACATTAACGCGCGGGAGCGAGCGAGAGAGCGAGAGAAAGAGAGAGAGAGAGAGAGAGAGAGAGAGAGAGAGAGAGAGAAAGAGACGGAGAGGAGGGCAGAGATTGAAAGCATGCGCGTTGGCCGCTGTTACCGGCAGCGTCGGTGGCGGTGCTGCTGGCGGTGTCAGTTCCGCGCGCGAGCTCCACGCAGCAGCAGGTGTTTGCTCTCCCGGCCGCCGCCTCACGCACACTCCGCAGCCGCATCCCCGCCGCACTCGCTGCCAGAGGAGCCCGCCGATGCCGCTCGCACACGTGACTGCATGAGATTCCGGGACCGAGCGCCACGCCACGCTGCAACGATGACCGCCAGATTATCCACCAAACAGCATGTACGTACGAGTCTTGGCCCCTCGCGGCCCCGATCGAGCGCGCGAGTCGTTCGCCGGCGCTGCCGAATTCCCGTCGATCGATGAGCGCGCGAGGGAACAATGCGAGCGCGGGGCCGACGCACAACGAAGGGAGAAAAATAACGAGTGCATAATTGGCGCGTTCTTGCGTGGCGCACGCCTCCTCAGCCGCGACTCGCCACTTTTCCATGCGCCCTCCTCTCAGCTCGTAATTATTCTCTCGAGATATTCTGGCTCACGTTTCCGCGCCATCGTCCGCTCTCCCCTGCCTCACGACCACGAGTGTGAGACGTTAGCACGACCTCGCGAGCACGTGCATGGCCGCGCCTCTATTACCAGTCTTTGTATCCCGATCCTTTCTTTCGTCGGCGACTTTATTATCTCGCGAATAATTAATAAAGCAAGAATGAGAGAAGACGTTGTTCACACTCGTGACAGCGGCGCCAGCATTACTCAGCGGGCTTTCGAGGAGGTGCGTGGGAGGGAGGGTCGGAGCCTGTTAATCCGATTTCAGATCGCGTAAAGTGCGCGCGGGCACGTGCTAAAGACTTTATCGTCGCGGCCAATTCAGAGCTGGCCGCGCGCCCCGAGCCGACGCTCGCGCGCTGATCCTTTTAAAATTTTTATGCGTGTTTCACGTGCATACCGTAAACGTGCTTGTAATCTCGTCGCTCCTCTCTCGCCCTCGCTCGCGAGCACTCGCTCTCTCCCTCACGCACGCGCGTCTGTTGCAACGGCGCAGCTGCGTATTGCAAAATCGTAAAGCGTTATCGCCTCACCCATCCTCGCTCACCGCCCGCAATAATTCTTCGGATTTTCCCGGTATATAGGAAAAATTGGCGTTCTTTTTTCTCTTTCATACGGAATATCAAAGGAACCGGCTCTTAAATATCGAGCTCGCAGACATTTGTCCGCTTTCATTTGACGAAGAAAAGCACTGCGAAAGGTTTTTCAACGAACGAAGTGGAGCAAAGATCGAGGAAGTTTTAGCGAGCCGTTAAAAATTCCTCGATGGCTTTCTAATAAATGGCGACCTGATTGATCTCGACTTGGAAATAATAGTGCCAGCGAATGGGGCGCGAATGGCCAGTTGAGAAAAGAAAATTGAAGCGCGCGCGCCAGGCAAAACTTGCGGGCGAAAGTTGGTGGAAGGCAGGCAAGCAGGAAGGAAACCACCCTCGCAGATAAGTTTATCGAGCGAACTTGTAACTTAAAAACTGTTGACTTCCCTCGGCATAGCCTAATGAACTTTATAACATTGGCGGGGGAGAAAGCGATATAAACGGAACGGCGCGCGAAGATTGTGTGGGAACCATCGACCTTTGGAAATTTATGCACTGCCGGCAGTGAGCAACGGAGAAAAGGCAGGGCCAGTGAGCGCGGAGTAGGAGTCAGGTGAAATATCCTGGGTTCAGTGGCCGGGATCGATGAGCAGCGACCACGAGAGCAGATGACGACTCCGTCATAGGTACACATCTGTGGGCGGGTCAGCGCGCAGCTGTAGAGCAAGGCAAGCTCGAGAAAGAATTGTCCGAAGCTCCGTAATTTTTCAGCGGCATTTTCATTCCGATGGGTTTCGCAGGCTCCGCCGAAAGTTACAGTCATTAGTCGGCCTCGTTGTCCTCCCGAGTCCGCGCGTATATCAAGAGACGCCCACTTTGCCCGTTTTCGTCCCTATGTTTTTTCGAGCGATAATGTAATTCATAGCCGACACCTTTGGCACCGTTGTATTTGCGCGCCAGGGCCAAGGTGCCGGATAAAGACTGCTTTAAAAACGGCTGAGCTCGTACAGTGGTACGCGTGAAAGAAAGAGACTCGATGTGGCTACGCGGAGTGGCGTCAATATTATATCTCGCTCGATTATCTCGATCGAACTGGCCCGCTTCTCAATTTCCCTTCTCGCTTGCTCGTTACTCGCGTCGCAAATTTCAGCCCAAGAGCGATCCGCTGAACAAACGTTAGTCGCATTAATTGCAAAATGACGAATGGCAGCGAGCACTTTGTTGCCGGTTAAGCTGCGTCGGGCAATTAACCGAGTTGGGTTGCACGAGGAAGCGAGAGGAGAAAGACTCGAGAGTAGCCGGAGACGGCGGAAGCGCAAGGAGTGCCGCGTCAATATTGTATCTCGCTCAATTAATGCGCAGCCTCGTAAAATTCATTCTCGCTGGCGCACTTGACATTCGACGAGACGCGCGCGAGAACGAGTGGCAAGCGGAAGAACGGGAAGAGAGAGAGAGAGAGAGAGGCTCAAAGCAAGGGGATCAAAGCGACGCGCGTGTCGGGCGCCGAAGATGAATCTCGCTCTATCGACCGGCGCGCGTGTCGTTACAGCCGTTCGATTCTCTCTTTATCTCGTGCCGCGCGCCATTACGTTCCGTTTGCATGCCCGGCTGCGATTCGCAACCGGAGAATAACAATCCGCTTCGTTTGGTTTGCCCCGATCGCGGCAATTGTCCGCTCGCCTCTCCAATCTTTTCAGATGCTCGCCACTTGCGTCCGCCTTCCGCCCAACCGAATCAAATTTTCAATTATTCGATAAGTGCTAATCGAAGAGGCCGACTCTAATGAGGTACGCTCGTCGAGCACTCGATCAGCGCGACTACGCCGTGCTGCAATTTTTTCCATTCTTCCGAATAGCGAACGCAGTTCTTGGTACAAATGCATCAACTATTACGGTATATAATATATAACCACCTATCAACTTGAAAGTTTCTATTAGAAACTCCTACTTTTTATTGCAGATTCGAATTCTACCTGAAATTTTATCTGGATATGATGTTACGCGATATTGAAATAATTTTTCAATATACTTACTATTAAACACTTACGGATGTTTTAAATATATTCGACTAGCAATGCCGAGTATTTTATTGAAAAATCAAGTTAAATATTTCATAAATTTATTTAAAGAAAAACTACTTAATTTCAAGTAATAGAACAAATTTTAACTACAAATCCTGTAAAGTATCGTACTTTAGAAAATTTATTGAGCTTTCTTGCAAAATGCAAATTGATTGATTATTTCATATATTTGTATTTCTAATAGAAACATAAAATGTATCTGTATCTAATAGAAACATAAAATCAATAATTTTACTCCGTATCGTGATAGTGGATGCAATTATGAAAAGCATGCTGTCTTAAGATATTTAATTATATTCCTTACAGTTTGAAAACTTTGCATTTTAAGAACAGAGTGATAAAAGTGCTTTTTCATATCTAACTTTTTAAGTGTAATTGGTTAAAGTTGCTATAAAATCAAAAGTATTACGAGCTTATTTTTAAACTTTTAATGGATTATCTTCTTGAAAAATTTGTAAAGATCCCATAAAAATGTTTTTAATGCAAAATCTCACTCAATTTAGATTTTTTCAAACTTTGAACTCGTTGTCAAATCCATTTCTTTTTCTTAGAAAGTTATAAGATAAATTATTGAAATTATTTTAGTTTCATATTTCTGAATGACGTTACGTATGACCAAAAGAGAACGCATACTGGCAGCAAATTGTTGGAGAACATTTCCAACGCCTGTTATGAATAATCAATATTTTAAAACATGTAGAAAATGTAGAGGTAAGAGTGTATACGTCAATAAAGCACTCCGAATAGTGAGAAGCAAAGGAACTAACGTTAATAAAGCACCCTGAATCGCGAGAGGCAAAGGGACTCGCGTTAATAAAGTACCCCGAAGGGATCACAAATATCCTTCTATGTTCACGTCGTTGTTCCTGGGTAGCATTAAACGAAGGATATCTAATATCCTGGATCAAAGATGGACTTTCGCTACAATAATTAGAAAAAGATATTATTTTCATCCAAAATGTTCATTCAATATTATTAAATATTAAATACAATCATGCGCTAACATGAAATTTTATCAACTAAAAATTATCAGTATAAACTCGCGGTTTCATGAACATTTATCAAGTTTTGATGGTATTAGGCAAGAAAACTAAATGATTCCATCAAAAGAACGGCAAAAATTACAAAAGAAACTATAGGAAAATTTATGAAACTTGAACCATTTCAGAGCGTCCGTAGTTTTTAATGTTTCGGGCTCACGTTCATACTCAAAATGTTAATTATTTGAATATTACGTAATATATCCGGATATTATCATATCCCGATGTAAAATTTCCCGTAAAGTCCAAATCTACATAAAAAATAGGGGTTTCTATTAGAAATCAACCAATTGGATCTGATTTGTAATCATATTAAAAATGAGAAAAAACTACAAAAGAAACATAATTGAAGTTAAAAAGAACTCCATTATCCGTAAAAAATCGTCAGGTGTTTCCATCTTTTTTCCCCGGCCTGTATATATATAAAAGACAAAAGTGGAGTTTTTGTTCTGGCTCTTTATCCGCAATTATGGGCGCGATCCCGCGCGGCTAATTAAAATCCAAAGAAAAGAAGCGGCGGCGCGACGAGCGAGATCGATGAGCCCTCTTTTAAACTTTTAATGCTACCCGGTCGCTCTCTCCCTCGTCCAAGATTCACTTTGTCTATATAGCGACGGGCGACGGCGACTTTTCCCCGCGGGCTGCCAGGATAAAAAGCCAGCCAGAAACTAAAAGTCGCGAACGTAAACGAACTCCTCCTTCTCGCGCGCTAACTTTCCGGCGATACACTCGACGGCGAAACAAAGCCAAGTTGTACGCGCGGCTCTTGGACAAGCAATATCCGTCGCGATGATGTAGCGCCAAACTGATTAACCCCCTCGGCACTCCCGTGGCCGGGACCTCGGAAACGGGAAGCGGGGCGACGTCGGCCGTTCGGCGGAGTAAATAAAAATCGCCCCAAGTTTCTGGCTTCGGCGCCGCCTTCTGCCAATCTCGGGTGTCTCGGTTTGCGCGCCTCCCGCGAGGAAACCTCTCCGAACTGGCTGTCGGGCCGACGAGCGACGAGTTTCTCGCCTTTGGCAGCCGCCGGCTTCGCTCCTCCGGCTCCTTTCCCACGCTTTCGCCTCGCAAAAGCCTCTT